AAGTTTGGATGTTTAACATCCTAATTTAGCATTTATTGAAGGTTTTACTGAGCTAAAAGAGCATTTTGCAGTCTATCATTACGTATTTATAGCGTAGTTTTACAGTCTCAATGCCAATTACATATTTACTAGTATCAACAACAGACAAACGATACCATAGCAATAATAAAAGTGGAGCTTTAATTAAATTTGACGTGCAACATATTTTATATGACGACAATACAAGGTTATCGCCAACGTCGATCATCGGACGTCTCTGCCAATCACGCGCGCGTTGCTATGGTAACCGCTCGTGTTTGACAGCCGAACTGCACGATGTGACCTTGCTAGGGCGTTTACACTTCAATGAATTATTGATTTTATTTCATTGAGATTGTCACACGTGATTTGTTAGTGTATTTTAATCGTTTGTGATTAGGTAAGTGTAGTAGGGCAAATAAAGTGACGAATGATGGATTGAATGAAAATTTTAAGTCTAATATCTATTGTATAGATCGACAGACAACTTGTTGATGTGATATGTTTATCACTACCGGTAGATGGAACGCGGACTTGTAGGTAATATTATAAGAACTTTGTTTCTTTCACTTGATAGACACGATTGAGCTCGTTTTGGACACAGTAGATACCTTTTTATGACTGGGAAAAATCATCGTATGACTTCTCCCGTCTTGGGTAGCGACAGGGACTCAGACTCAAACAGACCACCCCGTTCCTTTTCTTGTTCCGAGATTCTTGAGTTTATTTAGTACTAGCGACCCGCCCCGACGATGCTGATACTAAATCTCTCAATTATTTAATGGATGTTATTATAAATTATTAATATAAACATTCCTCTTCAATCACACTATCTCTTAAAAAACAGCATCTACATAAATCCGTTGCGTGGTTTTAAAGATTGAAATATACATAGAGATTATAGGGACAGCTAACTTTTTAACCAGAAAGCTGTATGCAGTTTCTTGTCATCATATCAGTAATAAGGCCAGAAGAGATCTACTGCCTTTTATAGACCACCTTCAATGACTTCCAGATCGACGGATTGAAAAGCCCAATGTAGTGACCTTCTTATATATAATATGCAGATGCAATATTTTCTTAAAGCAATATTAATAATTCAATTTACAGCCATTTATTCAAACGAATGTCGCCAAAAATATCAACACCTATAAGAGGTGATGATATTTTTGGCGACATTCGCCCATATTGTTATCAAAAAAGCACTTAAAAACAAAAAACGAAAGAACAAACAAATAAATAATTAAATTTATTTATCTGAATCGTTAAATATAAGAGTATGAAAATAAAATCTATAAGCACTAAATTTTATGAAGCTGTTTGTTTGTTTATATGGTTGAATCTGCCGAACTGGTTCAAATTGAAAAAATCTTTTCGTGATACACAGTCCGTTTATTAAGGAAGGTTATGGGTTATAAAACATCGCGTTACGAACAATAGGAGAAGAGCAGTGAGGAAAAACGTGCGTTAGTAGCTAGTTCAGTCCATATACTGGCATAATTTTAAAATGGCCGCCACTGAAAACAAGATGGTGGGATATATTTAGCGCAGCGGTGTATCGGCCTCGGCCGTGACCCCGATATATAAAGCAGTTCATGAAAAGTCATTGAATTTATTTTCCAAATATGTATTGCTCTTTATTTTAGTCTTTGTTTTTGAAGTGTATATAATTCTGCATGTTCATTATAAACTCAAGTTTTAAGACAAGAGAATGCTAATATATAGTATACCTAGTACCGACAGGTTTTAGTAAGTAATAAAAAATGGTTCTTTAATTAGTAATAGCGATCGAATAGACGTATAATGATTAGGGGTTTGTCAATAACGCCTTTCTTTGTGAGAAGAAAATCATCAAAGGACTTCTCCTGCCCATCAATCAATCAAATTCAATCAAATTTATTTATTTACGTTTGTACATAAATATCTTATACTAGGCCTTACATTTTAATTAATCTAGGTATATAACATTACGGTGCCTGTATAGAATTGAATCTGTACCACAGGCGTTACGGTCACTTTCAGTTACTGTTATGCTATGATTCATCCTTAACAATATTTATTTTTATTCAGATAACTTACTCAACATTTATATTTATATATAATTATACATTTCATTTATAAATAATTTAGGAATTCATTAAAACTTAACTATTATTAAATTATTACCCAATTAAACCTAGAGTGGAGTCAGAGGGAGTGTTAGACTCTTACTGACTAAAAATCCTGCCGTTCCTTCTCCTGCTCTAGGAACAGGCTGCAGTGACTTATTGCGCTTGCCTCGGCACTCCGGCTGAACATCAGCCCTATAGGGCCCTGTCTGTAGTGGTCTCTTGGCTTTGTCAATAACGGTTGACACAACAAGTTCTGCTTATTACAGTAGTACTTAACTTAGATCACCGACAATTTATGTTGCTTTCAAACTAAACCGTATCAATTCACTACCTCAAAATCGAAAACTCTTACAGAGTAAGAGTTTCTCAAAACAAATTGTTTTAACTAAAGCATAAAAAGTAACACGTCTTAGTACATCAAACCCTAAGCGAACGCCGGTGTTCTATTATTACTTTATTGTGTCTCGATTTACTACGATTGGAAGGTTAAAGAAATTCTACGAAATTACGAAAACAGTAAGTAGGTAATACGGTAGTTTCCAACAAGTCAAATTCATTACTTTTATCCAAATGTCAAAAACGATACTTTTCTATGAAATTTGTATGAAAAAGAAAGTTATGACGTCATAGTATTTTTGTGTCAAATAGCTTATTTCTTTAAAATTAGCTAAAAAATATCTAAAATTTTGTGTATCGACAGGTCGATGAATAAAAGTGTAATTATTTTTCAATATTTTATTGGATTCAAACGTCGAATTAATTTATTTTTGACCTAAGAAACTACCCAATTAGTTAATCTCTGCGGCCGAACTCCTTACTGGCTATTATTCATAATGTGACCATTTGTTTACCAAACGTACGTGTATTTACCAATGCCATCCACGCATTTATTTCTGTCCAACAGTTTTGTGTAAAATCAGAGTAAATGTATTCAGTATTCAACACGATACACACCTATCTTAAATCATATTGACGTCATTGCCCGTTGCATCCAGAGTTCTGTTAGAGTACAGTAAGATCAAAGTAAAGTCTTACCAAAGATCTAGACCAAAAATTTTTAATACTTAATTATAATTGGCCCAGCAAAAAACTGCACGACTGGCGTGGTGGCTAGGCAACTGCCGCAGCCAGTGCAACGTGTCGCGGCTTCGATTGCAGCACGGACCAACCCTTTGTATGATCTACAAATTTTTGTTCCGGGTCTGGGCTCGATATGTATGTGCAATTGCAGGAGAAAATCCAAGCGTTGGGCAAAGTTATTTAAAAAAATAAAAAAATAGGAATTAATACCCAGACTACTAATTTAGCTATAATAATAACACTAGTTTACACGGTTATCATACCCCAGCTGAAAATTGTTATTTTATTTTGTGTTCAGGTAGAACTATCCAGAAAAAATAATAAAAAAATTCTGTCACGTCTGGTTTTATAAATATTTATTTTCTAGAAGGGAAATACAAAAATTTTAGGATTAATACAAAAATAAATTAAAAATGACTAATTTTTGCTTTCTTTTTATAGTTATTTGAATCAGTTTCTCTTATGATAGACCAACAGTAATCTCCTAACATATTTTCATCCCAAAATCCTTGATGTCGTTCTTCGAAAGTCCTTAAATCTTGGTGGAAACGTTCACCCTGTTCGTCACTCATACTTCCTAAGTTTTCAGGAAAAAAATTCAGATGAGAGTGTAAAAAGTGAATCTTTAATGACATTTAACTCCCATATTTTAAAGAACGGCAAGTACGCATCGTATCATAGCTCTCTTTACAATTCACTGCGTGTCCTATTGGTATGGAAGGTTTCTTATTTCCGTTATGTAATAAAACAGCTTTGAGACTATATTTTGAAGAATCTATGAATAGGCGCCACTCTGTTTTATCATAGTTTTGATTTATTGCTTCGAAAAGTCCCGGGATATCTGCGCAATAACAATATTCACCTTCTCTTTTGAAAAATTCTGAGTAAACTTTGCTTCTGTTTCTGAAAAAACGTAACTTTTGTGTCTGGTAGTCTCTCCATAGCATTGGCGAACCAAATGGAAGGTAAACCTTTTCTCCTGATGACCACTGGAGTAAGATGATTCTACAGCTTTCGCAAAACACGTGAGACACCCACTTTTTATCTTGATTTGCAACAGGAAATCCAAAATAATGAAGATATGCAGTTTTTAACGAATCTACAATAGGTCTTCTCTTGTTTAAAAATATAAACTGTCCACAAACGTAACAAAAACGGTCAGAACTTTGTTTGCACTTTCTGCTAGCCATTTTAAATCAATCCAAAGCAAAGTAACTGTCGTTTGAAGCGAACGAATAAACAATAACATATCACCACCACGTCGGGTAGTTAAAAAAAAACAATTGACGGCAGAAAAAAAATCCGACGTGATAAAATATTTCTGCTAACACTTTTAGGTTTAGGGAAGGTAGATTAACATATTGACATACATTCGGTTCGGGGTATAAATAAAAAGTAAAATTTTGTAAACTAGTGTAATTGCAAGTATAATGCCGTCAATGAGACCAGTAATAGATAAATAAAATATCGTTTAGCATGACTGCAAAGGATATAAAATAATAACAATAGTGAAAAACAATAAAATTAAGTCATCTGAATAAGGACTAAATTGAAAAAAAAAACTAATATTTTTCTCAATTAAGAAGTCGGTTACTTTTGAACAAACAAAACGTTTCTTTTTCAATAATCAGGGAAACAAAGACGCTTGTCATAAACCACAAAAGCTCTCTAAATTCAAAACAATAATCCTTCAAACGCACACAAAATCGTTTAAATTATTATTAATAATACCTGTCATATTACGAAACACACGAGAACTTTGTATTTTTATAAATAAATAAGTAAACTCACCTTTTCACCACCTGACGCCAACAAAAAAGTATCCACAAAGGAATAACACACAACGATCTTTGTCTAGTTGAAAAAATGGCGCGCGATTTCCCGCGCTGTCACCTGTCAAACTACAAAAATATAACCTCAAAATATTGATTTGCGCTAAATCAATAATTAAATTATAATTATTTGTTTTGTTTTGTTAATTTTTCAATTTAAAAGACGTCCGTACGGTGAAATAGGCGATATTGAACTGTTGTCGAGACGTATAAATGTAATCTGGAGGGTTTCCAAACTGGCGTTCTGCCAAGTGCGTTGCGTCCGTTGCTTTAGGGTGGATGAAGATTTTATCATCCATCTGAACTGAACTCTGAACCAGTTTGACGTAAACGGAACTTGAATCTGGAAATTCAATGGAATGGTAAGCAATCAGCGCCGCCCATGGACACCCGCAACGAAGGAGTTACGAGTGCGTTGCCAACCTTTGAGGGATTAGGGATTTGGAGATTTAGGGATCGAGGAGGGATTGGGGGAGCGGAAGGATTGGGCCTCCGATAACCTCACTCACACGGCGAAACACAACGCCGTGGTTATTTCACGCCGGTTTTCTGTGAGGCCGTGGTATCACTCCGGTCGAGCTGACCCATTCGTGCCGAAGCTTGGCTCTCAGAGTGTACATCTACAAAACATTAAAAATGTTTTTTTTTTGGGTGAAAATTGACTTTCTTTGATGGTATATTTAGACCGCTGCTGGCCAGTCCGTAAAAATGGTTTATCATTTTCAAATCATTGCAGAATTAAAATCCATCCAAATATTTTTTTATCTGGTACCTGCTACTTGGCAAGCGAGCTGATGGAACACCCGGTGGTAAGCAATCGGCGCCGCCCCTGGCAACCTCGCCGTCAATAGAGATTATGGTTTGGGAGATTTAGAATTGAAGAGGAATGGGGAGAGGAGAAGGATTGGTTCTAACACAACGCTGTGGTTGTTTCACCCCGGATTTCTGTGAGGCCGTGGTAACACTCCGGTCGAGCTGACCCATTCGTGCCGAAGCATGATTCTCGCACAGAAATCTAGCATTTCACAACAATATAGCCTTCATATCATTTGCTCTTTCGATAAATAAATAAATATTCATATACCACACACAGACGCTTTCACCCTACTCAACGAAACACCTCGGTTCTCTCTTTGTATACCATTTGCGAACAAAGATTTCTCGGAGACAACGAACTTGTTGCTCACAGTAATTGTAGCTATAACAATTATATTGCAAGACTAGCTACTCTCGTGCGGTTTCACCCGCTGCTCGGCTCCATCTAAGCGTAGCGTGATGTTTTATAGCCTATAGCACACAGAAACATTCTAGCTATCTATCAGTGAAAGAATTTTGGCGATCCGACCAGCGGTTTCAAAGATTACCCCCTACATACAAACTTACAAATTTTACCTCTTTATAATATTAGTATAGATAATCCTTTGAAGTCGGATTCAAGTAACAGCTGTTTGATGAATTAATATATGTTGTTGTTTACTTGTATCTAGGACTGAACAAAAGTCGCACTTCATATCATCAGCCTAAAAGTGCCCACTGCTGAGCAAAGGCCTCTTGTTACACGAAGAAGGTTTGAGCATTAACCACCACGGCTGCTCAAGGTGGATTGGCAATGTCAAACTTATGACTAGAAATTATAAGTCCAGGTTTACTCAAAATGTTTCTCTTCTCTGTATAAAAAAAAATATTTAGAAACTCGGTAAAAATCACATTGGTACTTGCCAGGTATAGAACTAACCCAGTCGAGAGACTATATCTCCAAAGACCAAAGACAATTAACGATTTCCCTACATCTGAAAAAAAAAACGAATCTGAGATCTTTTTGTGAGATAGGTCGGCAAACGAGCAGGCGGATTACCTGATGGTTAGCAAGTCAGCGCCGCCCATGGACACTTGCTACACCAAAGGACAGGGGCCAGGGTTTTGGGCATGTAAGGATTGGTGAGGGATGGAGGAGGAGAAGGATTGATAGGAAGGACTCCGGTAACCTCACTCACACGCCGAAACACAACGCTGTGGTTGTTTCACGCCGGTTTTCTGTGAGACCGTAGTATTACTCCGATCGAACCGACCCATTCGTGCCGAAGCTTGAACCAACACAAGACTGATAAATACTTAGGGTTGTAGATGCATGCCCAATGATTTGCCGCAACCTGGCTCGAAATAGAAGAAAGACTAGGGTGATTTAAGTCAGTAAGAGTCTGGGATTTATTCGTCAAACTAAAGTCAACGATCGATTTTTGTCCCACCGAAAAAAAAACCGAATCTGAAATTCCTTTTCATCACAGATTTAAAAACATCTATGAATTGTGTATAGTAGTTAGTTTATCTGTCAGCTCGTAGACAAGGCTGTGGTCCTACGTAACGAGAACGTGACGACATCGTAAATTCGATGTCGTCACTACAATTATACAACGTTTAGCATCGGATTAGTCGGTGACGGCATTCTGTAAGGGAGAGTTACACCGAGAGATTTATAGAACACTAGCTTTTACCCGCGACTCGCGTTCGCGTAAATTAGTGACTTCCTGCAGATTTTTGGTATAAAAAATATTCTATGTCCTTTCTCGAGTTCCAAACTATGTCTTTACCAAATTTTACAGAAATCGGTTCAGTAGTTTAGGCGTGAAGAAAAGAGACAGACAGAGTTCCTTTCGCATTTATAATATTAGTTTGAATAGTTTGGAAGTCTGGATCATTTCGAGGTTGTTATCTTCTGATGTGAAAAGGTAGACTCTTCATCATAAGCCTATAAGTGCCCACTGCTGAGCAAAGGCATCTGCAGATCTTCTGTGATGATATGTGATCACCGTGAATGAACTGAGAAAGCTCTTTTAGATTTAACGTGAACTGCTCATGAACAAGAGTCCCGTTGTGACTTGAGACTAGTAGCGCTTCTCTGTGTAACTTCAAGTAATTCGTTAAAAATCATTTAAACATTCTTTTTAACATCATTTTTACAGAAATGGAACGCTACACAGCACGACAAAATCCGAAATGTGAAAATTCGCCAAAGAACCAAAGTTATCGACATAGATCGTAAAATCTGCAGGCTACAGTGGCAATGGGTAAGGCCACGTCGCTCGAAGGACGGACGGCCGATGGGCCCGAAAAGTATTCGAGTGGCAATAAAGGTCTAAAAAACGTAGCACTAGGTGGATCGACGACATCGTCAGAGTTGCGGGGAGCCAATGGATGCAGGTGGCGAGTTGTCGTTCAACATGGAGGACTAAAGAGGAGGCCTTTGTTCAGCATTGGACATCGTCCGGCTAAAGATGATGATGAATATTGATTAATTATAGTGTGGGAGAGCCTAGCTTCTGAACGATTATGTCGGTTCGACCGAAGTGATACCGTAGCCTCACAGAAAACCGGCGTGAAACAACCACAGCGTTGTGTTTCGCCGTGTGAGTGTAGTACCGGTGGCCTAATCTTTTCCCTGCCCCAATACTTCCCCAATCGCTAAATATTCAAATCTCTAATCCCTAAAAGGTCGTCAACGCACTCGTAACTCCTCTGTTGTTGCATGTGTCCATAGGCGGCGCTTATTGCTTACTATCTGGAGCCCGAGTCTACTATTTTCAAAGAGTTGTCATTCCTCACAGAACAGAAAATTAAGTAGAAGTGCCCCTACACTCTTTCAAAAGGAAAACCAGTGTCTGTATTTTCTATTCCGTGTCATTCCTACACGATTCCATTGTCATTTTGCTAAAAGTTCGTAATCTGTTAATTCAAAATGGCTGATAATTGGCGTTCGGCGATGTCGTAATAGAATTATAGTACGAGATGTCTTGTAAAGAATTATAAACAATATAACTGCACATTAATATTCTAAACGTGAATCATTGAATAAAGGAACTGACATTTTTTAATTAATTTACCGCATTATCTATACATATAATAAATCTGTAGAAAAGTAATTTTTGTACATTGAATAAATTGAAGAAAAAAATAGCCAGCGTGTTAAAGGATAACTAACCGAACCCATTTTCGTAATTTTTGTCATTTTTGTCTGTTTGTCTGTTTGTCTGTTTGTCTGTTTATATGTTTGTTTGTGCGCGCATCACGTAAAATCTACGAATTCAATGCAGACAATGCTTATATACAAAAATTCTACACAACTTGAGGTATAACTTAGTTTTTGTTTCATCGAAATCGGTTCACTCTATCACAAGATATGATTAATTTAGTGAGTCAAGAAGTAAAATATTACAACACGCATTTCCGTGCAACGACACCTTAAGACAAAAAATAGAACTAATGTTGATAGTTGATATCTTTATTCGATAGATGGCGTTGTGCAAATACGTCATGATTAACGATTATTAATGATTATATTAATGATTAAATGATTAATTAAGACATTATTGCGAGGATTTTTCATTTTTAACTAAAAGTTTTGATTAATCTACTTACAAAGGAGAAAGTTTTCAAGCAAGCAAAGCAAAGCAGAATTTCCAGACCATAGCGCAGATCCGATTTAACATGACATTTTTTCGCCTTTGCGAAAGAGACAATTTCGCCAAGTCTCTGTTGTACAATGAAGTGCCACATTATTATACTTACAACAAGCATCAAGGTGTTTTTAAACGCAGGTGATGTGGAACTGCTGTAGAAGGTGAGCCCGGCATTTTTAAAGAACACGTGATTGGAAGAGTATACACGGTGCACCCAAATAATGCAGAGTGTTATTATTTACGCCTTCTTCTTCACATAGTGCGAGGGCCTACTTCTTTTACTGATCTCCGCAAAGTGGACGATATAAAAATCCCTTGGCCCACGGCCTTTATTAGATGGTGATCAGCATTCGGATGATGCTTTAGCCGAAGCATGCGTCAGCGATAGTCCACATCGTCTTCGTCATTTGTTTGTTTTATTGACATTTTGTGACCTATCGGACGCTGGGCAGTTGTGGCAAAAATATAAAGACGCGTTTGCCGAAGATTTTTTTACACAAGAAAATAGTAACAGAGAAACTTCTGACCAAGTACGGGAACACTGCTATAATAAGTCTTTGCTAGCTATACAAGATATAGTTATAAGTATAGGAGGGAACCTTCTTAGTCAATACGGCTTGCCAACGCCGACAGCTGGTGGGTCCCAATGAATAGGGAGTGTGCATCGGAAATAAAATACAACCCTGAGGAGTTAGCAGAAATAGGGCTAAATGGCT